TTGCAAACTTTTATACCTTTAATTTTGGTTTTATGATTCCCAAGGTGCGGTATTCCAGGCCAGTGCTGCATACTGCCATACTGGCCCAACAACGGCTGTATAGACTGCCTTGAAAGAGCCCGAGTTTAGGTCTGTAAACTACGTTCAAATATTGAGCTGCGTCCCCTATGTTGGCGATGTTTCTCTTGTCCGTGTGGGGCTCTGATGCCAGTCTTGGACATGTATCCACGCCTCATTCTCTGACTCCTGTAGTTGCCTTCTCCTTATGGCGCCCAACAACTTGAGCTGGACGGCTCATTCACGTAAATTAGGAACAGTAGGAGTCCAGGAGCGAGCCTTGGGGAACACCACTTGTTACCTCCCTTCAACTCTAAACCTCATCTCCGACTGTAACTGTATTCAGTCCTTCATGGTATCTCTTGCCCAGTTCAATGTCCACACTGTTATCTGTGATTTCTCCTCCATCTTGAACACCAGCCTCTTGAGAAGAACTGTGTCAAGTGTTCTTTGACAATATGGGACAATACAGCGTAGCCAACATTATTTTTCCTGTCCTGGTTTAGTAACCCTGTCATAGATCACTGTAAACTTTGTCAGGCACCACTCTCCTCTTTTACACCCATGTTGCCCTTTTCTTGCAATGTTTAGTCTCACCAAATGTTTACATTTCCCACCACAGGTGTCCCACCACAGGTGTCCCACCACAGGTGTCCCACCACACGTGTCCCACCACAGGTGTCCCACCACATGTGTCCCACCACACGTGTCCCACCACAGGTGTCCCACCACATGTCTCTCACCACATGTCTCTCACCACATGTGTCTCACCACATGTGTCCCACCACAGGTGTGGAGAGGAAGGAACAAGGAATCATCACCTTTAAGGGTCAAATATTTAACAGGTTAGCCAGGTGTTGGTGGCACCTCATCTCCCTGCCAGCCAGGTGTTGGTGGCACCTCATCTCCCTGCCAGCCAGGTGTTGGTGGCACCTCGTCTCCCTGCCAGCCAGGTGTTGGTGGCACCTCATCTCCCTGCCAGCCAGGTGTTGGTGGCACCTCATCTCCCTGCCAGACAGGTGTTGGTGGCACCTCATCTCCCTGCCAGCCAGGTGTTGGTGGCACCTCATCTCCCTGCCAGCCAGGTGTTGGTGGCACCTCATCTCCCTGCCAGCCAGGTGTTGGTGGCACCTCATCTCCCTGCCAGCCAGGTGTTGGTGGCACCTCATCTCCCTGCCAGCCAGGTGTTGGTGGCACCTCATCTCCCTGCCAGCCAGGTGTTGGTGGCACCTCATCTCCCTGCCAGCCAGGTGTTGGTGGCACCTCATCACCCTGCCAGCCAGGTGTTGGTGGCACCTCATCTCCCTGCCAGCCAGGTGTGGGTGGCACCTCATCTCCCTGCCAGCCAGGTGTTGGTGGCACCTCATCTCCCTGCCAGCCAGGTGTGGGTGGCACCTCATCTCCCTGCCAGCCAGGTGTTGGTGGCACCTCATCTCCCTGCCAGCCAGGTGTTGGTGGCACCTCATCTCCCTGCCAGCCAGGTGTTGGTGGCACCTCATCTCCCTGCCAGCCAGGTGTTGGTGGCACCTCATCACCCTGCCAGCCAGGTGTTGGTGGCACCTCATCTCCCTGCCAGCCAGGTGTTGGTGGCACCTCATCTCCCTGCCAGCCAGGTGTTGGTGGCACCTCATCACCCTGCCAGCCAGGTGTTGGTGGCACCTCATCTCCCTGCCAGCCAGGTGTGGGTGGCACCTCATCACCCTGCCAGCCAGGTGTTGGTGGCACCTCATCTCCCTGCCAGCCAGGTGTGGGTGGCACCTCATCTCCCTGCCAGCCAGGTGTGGGTGGCACCTCATCACCCTGCCAGCCAGGTGTTGGTGGCACCTCATCTCCCTGCCAGCCAGGTGTGGGTGGCACCTCATCTCCCTGCCAGCCAGGTGTGGGTGGCACCTCATATTTAGGTAGGGGACCCCCCCCCCTTCCCTTCTGACACACACACAGGAACACTTTCAAATTAATTTAACAGTTTAACGATTGTCTTACCAATAAGGTGGTGTTGAGCAGAGATGAGAACAGTTGGGTCTCGGGCCAGAACCACACGGACCAGTTGGTCTGTGGTGAACATTCTCGAACCTCTACACATTTGTTAACATCATCATCATCATCATGTATAACGCAGACATTTGGAAGCAAAGGAGAAATAACTTGGTAATTATGTTCAAATGGCCTGATGCAACAGCCAAAAACCTCTAAGAACTGTCTAGGAAACCTAAAAAGGTCAGAACCCAATATTATTCTACTGGAGACTTCAGTACACTTATTATTATATTCGGAGACTTCAACCTTCCAAACTTAAGGTGTAAGATGACGCACAATATTACTAGAACAAGTCAAAACTCGTACAAGAACAGAGCAGGCAGCCCAGGAGAGTGACAGGTTTGGTACTCGACCAACAGACAGTTGAGCCAAGTATGGTGAGACAATACTCCTCACCTGATCTTCATCAATAATGAACTATTCTGGGACATTAAAATGTCAAACTTAACGTATTTCGATCAGAGTATCACTGACATCAAAATATAAACAGTGTAAAAATGGGAAACAGGCGCCGCGCAGCACAGTGACTCTGTGACACTGACGGAGAGTAAACAACCCAACACTGCCCAACCGTTCCCCCGGGAGACACACACCACAACTCTCACACTCACCAACGCAATACTCACATTAAATGAACAACTTTACAAAATCTTCATATCCCCCGACCATCCAAGGGGTTGGGCACCATTCCTTCCCTCCGCGTCCCATCCCTATTCCTTTTCCTGACCCCCTTCCCAGTACTATATAATCGGAATAGCTTGGTGCTTTCCCCCTGATAGTTCTCTCTCTTCATAAACATGTCCCTAAACTTCATAAAATAGATAAAAAGAGTTTAACTTTGAAAAAACAGCCCAGAGGACGAAACAGAGGAAAGAAGGTTCCAGAAGAGGCCACACACACACACACACACACACACACACACACACACACACACACACACACACACACACACACACACACACACACACACACACACACACACACATCCTAACAGAAAAAACAAACATGCACAGACACATCACGATGACAGAGACAAAACTACAACATTCAAAAGCAGAATGAAGGTACTTAAACAAATACAAAGGCCTCCAAGGAAAACAAATACGTCTTTAAATATGAAAATAACACATCAAAAACCTTTTCCAGCATAGTCTCCTCCCTTTCAAGAGGAAGCATGTACACCGGTGACCATAATAACACTTGGAGATCCTAACAGAAGAATGTGTATCCATGTTTAGCCATGTGATGGACACAATGGGAAGTAAATATTAACTTTTTCATCATCTCTGACAACACAGAAAGGCAAATGTCGGATATTACAACAAGCGAGGCAGACTTTCATATGAAAATAGACCATACACCTATTGACCCAACTCCGGGCCCACACAACTGGAGTTTATCTATATAAGAAGACGTCTGTTTGTCTCAGGTTGGAGACCAGATGCTTGCCGCTGTCCTCACCCAACTTTTACACGTGATGCACGTGGGGTCGGGACGGACGGATGGACGCACATGCATACATACGTACATACATACATACATACATACATACATACATACATACATACATACATACATACATACATACATACATACACAGAACTTTTTCAGTGTCAGTTTAGTAAGTAAATGCAATGTACCAGGAAGTGATGTGGTGGAGGCTGACTCCATACACAGTATCAAATGTAGATATGATAGAGCTCGAGAAGTTCAGGAAACTGTTCACCAGTTAATTGAAGGTTCAGAGGCAGGACCAAAGAGCCGGAGCAAGTGAGAAGACACATCTTCATAAAATGTGAGTTTGTCTTATAATAAGAGAGCAGAACATAGTAGAACAACACAGTTGAACAGTATAACAGGAGAACAACGTCAGGGGCGCGAAAACAACAGAACATTCCCACCTCAGAGACGTTAACCAAGGGATTAGTCAACTCGGGTCAAAGGTCATGTGTATTTACTATTTGTGTCTGGGGGTTCGAGCTATTACCTCTTAGACGCCGGCTTTCTAACCAATCTATTTTTCATCTATTATATCTACTACATATATATATTTCTCTCTAACACACACACACACACACACCCAGGAGGCGGCCTGTAGCAGTTGTCCAACTCCCAGGTACCTATTTACTGCTAGGTGAACAGGCGCATTAAGGTGAAAGAAACTCTGCATGCGTGTGAGCAGACAATCATGCATGCGTGCGAGCAGACAATCATGCATGCGTGTGAGCATGTAATCATGCCTGCGTGTGAGCAGACAATCATGCATGCGTGTGAGCAGACAATCATGCGTGCGTGTGAGCAGACAATCATGCATGCTTGTGAGCAGACAATCATGCATGCGTGTGAGCATGTAATCATGCGTGCGTGTGAGCAGACAATCATGCATGCGTGTGAGCAGACAATCATGCATGCGTGTGAGCAGACAATCATGCATGCGTGTGAGCAGACAATCATGCATGCGTGTGAGCAGACAATCATGCATGCATGTGAGCAGACAATCATGCATGCGTGTGAGCAGACAATCACGCATGCGTGTGAGCAGACAATCATGCATGCGTGTGAGCAGACAATCATGCATGCGTGTGAGCAGACAATCATGCGTGCGTGTGAGCAGACAATCATGCATGCTTGTGAGCAGACAATCATGCATGCGTGTGAGCAGACAATCATGCATGCGTGTGAGCAGACAATCATGCGTGCGTGTGAGCAGACAATCATGCATGCGTGTGAGCAGACAATCATGCGTGCGTGTGAGCAGACAATCATGCATGCTTGTGAGCAGACAATCATGCATGCGTGTGAGCAGACAATCATGCATGCGTGTGAGCATGTAATCATGCATGCGTGTGAGCAGACAATCATGCGTGCGTGCGTGGAGAGGTGCGTGGTAGCGTGCGTGTACTCACTTGTTGTAGAGGACAATGTCAGGTCTCCAGATGTGGTCTGAGGGCACGTGAAGCATCTTGACGCCGCCGTACTCGTCCGGGTCCCAGATGAGTTTGTAGTCGTACCAGTACTGTGGGGGAGCCGTGGGTCAGTGCGTGGCACGGCGGAGGGCACGGGAGAGGCTGGCACGGGGACGTGGGACGGGGGAGGGGAGGGTGGGACGGGGAAGAGGACACGGAAGGGGAGCAGGGGAGGGGAGGGTGGAAATCATGAGGACTGAATAATGACTTTTGGGGTCCCGAGTGATGTTTTACCACTACTGTGGGAGAGCTTCCGTCTGTGTGTGTGTGTGTGTGTGTGTGTGTGTGTGTGTGTGTGTGTGTGTGTGTGTGTGTGTGTGTGTGTGTGTGTGTGTGTTTGTACTCACCTAGTTGTGGTTGTGGGAGTTGAGCTTTGGCTCTTTGGTCCGGCCTCTTGACTGTTAATCAACTCTTGTACGTATTCTGGAGCCTATCGGGCTCTATCATATCTACATTTCAAACTGTGTATGGAGTCAGCCTCCACCACATCACTGTTTAATGCATTTCATTTGTTAACTACTCTGACACTGAAAAAAGGATTTGTAATGTCTCTGAGGCTCATTTGGATACTAAGTTTCCACCTGTGTCCCCTTGTTCGTGTCCCACCCGTGCTAAAGTGTTTGTCTTTGTCCACCCCTGTCAATTCCCCTGACAATTTTGTAGGGGGTCATCATGTCTCCCCTTACTCTTCTGTCTTCCAGGAAGTGACGTTTAGCTCTCGTATCCTTTCCTCGTAACTCATACCTCTCAGTTCTGGGACTAGTCTAGTGGTGTATCTCTAAATCTTCTCTAACTTTGTTTTGTGTTTAACTAGGTATGGACTCCAGGCTGGAGCTGCATACTCCAGGATTGGTCTGACATAAGTGGTATACAAGGTCCTGAACGATTCCTTACACAAGTTTCTAAAGGCAGTTCTTATGTTGGCTAGTCTAGCATATGCCGCTGATGATATCCTTTTGATGTGGGCCTCTGGGGACAGGTTCGGTATGATATCAACCCCAAGATCTTTCTCTCTATTTGACTCTTGTAGGATTTCACCTCCCAGATGGTACCTTGTGTTCAGCTTCCTGCTCCCTTCGCCTAATTTCATTACTTTACACTTTCCTGAGTTAAACATTATTAGCCATTTTCTAGACCATTCCTGCAGTTTGTCCAGGTCATCCTGTAGTCTCCGTCTATCTTCATCTGTCTTGATTCTTCTCATAATTTTTACATCATCAGCAAATATTGAAAGGAATGAGTCTATACCATCTGAAAGATCGTTTACATATATTAGAAACAGGATGGGTCCAAGTACAGAGCCCTGTGGGACTCCGCTGGTGACATCTTCCTAGTCTGATGTCTCCCCCCTCACAGTTACTCTCTGCTTCCTGTTGCTTAGATACTCCCTTATCCACTGGAGCACCTTACCTTTTCTCCTGCCTGTTGCTCCAACTTTTATAACAGCCTTTTATGGAGTACTGTGTCAAAGTACAAAGAAAATGCAGTCTGCCCACACTTCTTTTTCTTGCCTAATTTTTTCCGCCTGGTCACAGAGGCACGATTAAGCATCCCTGAACCCATGCTGGTGGTGTGTTACACAGCTCTTTCCCTCCAGATGTTCTACGAGCCTTTTTCCTCACGATCTTCTCCATCACCTTGCATGGTATATAAGTTAGGAACACTGGCTTGCAGTTTAGTGCCTCTTGCCTGTCACCTTTTTGTATATTGGGACTACTTTAGCTGTCTTCCAGCTTTCCGGTAGGTCTCCTGTTTCCAGTGACCTGTTATACATCATTGAGAGTGGCACATTTAGTGCTTCTGCACCCTCTTTTAGTATCCATGGTGAGATTCTGTCAGGCCCAACAGCCTTTGTCGCAATCAGCTCCAACAGATTCCTTTTGACCTCATCACTAGTGAGGTCAAATTCCTCTAAGGTTGCTTGATTACGCTTCCTCCTCATCTAGTACAGGGGCTTCTCCTTGTTTTATTGTGAGGAACTGGAATCTTTTGTTGCGTTCTTCACACACCTCCTTATCTTTCTCTGTGTATCTGTCTCCCTTTTTCTCAGTTTGATCACGTGTTCCTTCCCTGCTGTTTTCCTCCTGATGTGGCTGTGGAGCAGTTTTGGTTGGGTCTTAGCTTTACTAAATGTTTATTGACGTAGTTGTGCTTGCGGGGTTTGAGCTTCGGCTCTTTGGTCCCACCTCTCATCTGTCAATCAACTGGTGTACAGATTTATGAACCTATTGAGCTCTTATCATATATACATATGTAATTGTGTATGGAGTCTGCCTCCACCACATCACTGCCTAATGCATTCCATTTGCTAACTACTCTGACGCTGAACAAAATTCTTTCTAATGTCTCTGTGGCTGTGGCTCAGGGTTTGTGAGTGTGTAAATTAGTGTGAGTGAGTGAGTGAGTGAGAGCAGAGGGAGGGGAGAGGAGCCCCCCCCCTCACCACCACTACCAAAGTAGCCCGCCGGGACTACCCATAACTTGGGTAAGTCAGTGATATATCCAGTTGTTGGATATCCATAGTTAAACTCTGACTAGTTTCGAGGAATGTATAATGTATGAGGTAGAATGAGGAGGAAGTGAGGGACTGTCAGACTACCATGCGTGGCGGACGCTGGCCATGGTGGTGTGAGGGACGAGGACCACAAACACTTGGTTAATACAAAGGACCTTTGAGTTACCGGAGGACTGAGGGCCCGCACGGTACACCGTGACACACAGTACTGAGGTGAGGCAGAACTAGGACACGTGATGAGGCTCTTACCTGTTCCACCCAGAGGTTGGTCGTCATGATCTGGTTCTTCAGGTTCTGAAAGAGAGAGAGAGAAAGAGAGGAGTTAAAAACTGCACAAACTGGTGTCAGTATTAAAGAAGAGTAATCTGGGTAACATTACAACACCATGTGGGTAACATGTACTTCCTACACACAATCACATCAACACCAGAAATAGTCTCACCAACAAGAGAGGAAAAGACATGGCCGAAGCACTACATATCAAACAGTTTACACACACACTTAGCAGCCAGCTCACACTCGGGGGACATTCAACCATCTTCAAGACTAAGGCAGAATATCTAACACCCCCCCCCCAGTGGTCCTTACTGGTGGTCCTTACTGGTGGCCCTTACTGGTGGTCCTTACTGGTGGCCCCAATATGTGACACCTTTAACCTCACACTCTCTACCCTCTTCCCGCTCGTCCCCTCCCTCCAAATCTTCCCCTATCTGTCCCAATCAAGCTCTCACTCTTTCCCAATCTTCCTTTTTCCCAATCTCCACCCTCTACCCCCCCCCAATCACCGCCTGCCATCCAAACATTTAATATGAATCTCAGTGAGGCTGGAATGTTTATATTTAGCACCACTATGTACTGTGGCCGCCCTGACCTCCACAGTACACAGGCCCACCGCTCTATGTGTTGTCCGCCACCCAGACCACCGAACCTGCCAAGTTGGGACAGGTTAGCCTCAAGTGCCTGCCCTCCAATCTTGGACACACACACACACACACACATTATAATTTATAGATATAGATATACTGTATATATATACTTCGGGCAGGAGCATAAAGATACTGTTCCGGAGCAGCACCTGACGCAGGCTGGAGCAAGGAGCTACTGTTCCACAGTATCACTGGAGCATGGGAGGGAAGACAGTGTTGGAGAGCAGCGCCTTTCCCTGGAGCAGGAGCGGCTGGGTGGAGGGGGGCAATATACCCCCATATACCCCCCTCCTGGTGCAGGAGGTGGGGGTATATGAAGGGGGGGGGGAGTATAGCACTATAGTGGGGGGGAACAGGGTCCCTGTGGCCACTCGCGCCAGATCGTCTGGGATTTTTGGGCGATCCCAAAGCGACGGTGGAGGAAACTGTGGTATTTTCACGGCATTTTTTGGGGGTGAGGCGGAGACTGGTGGTAATGGCGGCGGTGAAGGTGTTAAGGCGCTCCTTGTTGTGTGTGTAATGTGGCCTTATGGTGCCACCTGAACACCTGTGGCTATAGCTCTTGTCTCCAGGGGTGCTTCTTATGGCCACACTGGTGGGCCCGGGGGACCAACACTGGTGGCCCCAGGGGACCAACACTGGTGGCCCCAGGGGAGGGACCACCCCAACACTGGTGGCCCCGGGGGGGGTCAGACCACCCCAACACTGGTGGCCCCGGGGGTGAGACCTCCCCAACACTGGTGGTCCCCGTGGGAGGGACCACCCCCAACACTGGTGGTCCCCTAGGGACCACCCCAACACTGGTGAGCCCCCAGGGACCACAACAACCAACAATGGTGTCTACCTATCATGTTTTTGTTTGTGAGTTAGTGAACTGTTGTGGGTTGCAACCTGGCAACTGGTCAGATGTTGGCATTAAGACCCCTAATGCACCCGATGGCTCTCTTCACCTAACACGAAATATGGTACCTGAAACACCAGTGGCCACTAGGAGACACCAGGTAACATTAGGGGACACCAGGGAAACATTAGGGGGACACAGGAACACCAGAACACACCAGGGAACATCAGAACACACCAGGGAACACCAGGGAACACCAGAACACACCAGGGAACACCAGAACACACCAGGGAACACCAGAGCACACCAGGGAACACCAGAGCACACCAGGGAACACCAGAACACACCAGGGAACACCAGAGCACACCAGGGAACACCAGAGCACACCAGGGAACACCAGAGCACACCAGGGAACACCAGAGCACACCAAGGAACACCAGGGAACACCAGAGCACACCAGGGAACACCAGAGCACACCAGGGAACACCAGGGAATACCAGAGCACACCAGGGAACACCAGAGCACACCAGGGAACACCAGAGCACACCAGGGAACACCAGAGCACACCAGGGAACACCAGAGCACACCAGGGAACACCAGGGAACACCAGAGCACACCAGGGAACATCAGAGCACACCAGGGAACACCAGAGCACACCAGGGAACACCAGAGCACACCAGGGAACACCAGAGCGCACCAGGGAACATCAGAGCACACTAGGGAACATCAGAGCACACCAGGGAACACCAGAGCACACCAGGGAACATCAGAGCACACCAGGGAACACCAGAGCACACCAGGGAACATCAGAGCACACCAGGGAACACCAGAGCACACCAGGGAACACCAGAGCACACCAGGGAACATCAGAGCACACCAGGGAACACCAGAGCACACCAGGCAACACCAGGGAGCACCATAGCACACCAGGGAACACCATAGCACACCAGGGAACACCATAGCACACCATAGCACACCAGGGAACACCATAGCACACCAGGGAACACCATAGCACACCAGGGAACAC